TTTTTTTTTTTTTGTCTATTACCACTCAATCTCAGCTCTCACTGGACCGATTTTTATGAATAATACGTTAGAAGACCACAAATTGTATCTAGTCGAAGACATTACCCTTCACAATAGAAAAAAATTACCTCGTTCTTCGTAAATGGGACAAATTTCCAAAAAAATTACAATTTTAAAAATCGCCATTTTTTGACATATTTTTAATTTTTTTACTTAAATCTGCCATAACTTTTTTAAAAATAACAAAATCAATATAATATTTTTTATAAATGCATTATATCTTTACTTTTCATTTGGTATATATTTTTTATAAATTTATTAAATTGGCTTGTTAGTTAAGTGTTATTTTTTTGTATTATTGAAAGAAAAAAACGTTGATCAAGTTTTATGTCAAAATACATTATCCATATTATTTTCTAAAGGCATACAGTTGTTTTCATTTTTTTTTTTTTTACATTGGCTGGTTACAATTGGTACTTTATTACAATAAAACTGCGGGTATTGTATTACTATTATAAATTCATTTTATTCATATGGAGCATAACTAAATGTAAGTAGTATGGATTATCATATTTATTAATTATTTAATTTAGCAATAATAAAAAATTGGTTGTTGTTATTTGAATTATTTCGTTATATTTATTAAGTTAAACAATCCTATTTTGGATAAACAAAAAATATTTTTCATTTAACAAATTTTAAATTGATTAAGAAATTTTTGTTGATTATTAGTTGCCCCTATTTTAAGCCGTACGGCGAAGTTCTGTTCCCCATATTTACTTGGGATTTTTTAGAACAGCCCAGGCGGCAACAAACTTTTTCAACTTAACTTTTGAAAGTATTCCGGGAAGTCTGACACTTTTATATATATCTTAAATTAAAGCTAATGTAATATACTATATTATGGAAAAAAATATTTCGGACTTTATGTTGTCTTCACGGTGTAAATGGCTACCAAATGCTATTTTTGATGAAAATTCTCGATTTTATATTTTACATTTTTTACTTTAAAATGCTATAACTTTTTAAAAAATATATGGATCAAAACAATTTTTTCATGAGAAGTAGTATTTATATACATCTTTCATTCAAAATACTTTTTTTTTAAATCAGACCATTTACCTATATATAGAGGAGATTCAAAACTAAAAAATTCATATAGAAAGTAGAATTTTTTCAACTTAATTTTTTAAAGTGTTCCGGAAATACTGACACATATATATATATATATATTAAATTAAAGTTTTAGTTTGATTTCATGGTGAAAAATAGTTAATAATAAAATTAGATTTTTGTAAATAATTATTTTTTATATTTATAATTTTATAATGCTATAACTTATTAAAAAATACATGGATCAATACAAATTTTTTATGATAAAGACTATTTATATACCTCTTTCATTCGACATACTTTTTTTTTTTAAATAAAACCATTTCTCTTAATATATTTATATATTACAAATTACATTTTGATGACTTCTAAGAAAAACAATATTTGGGTTTTTTTTAAGTCAATTCCCTGAGTTCAAAATCTTAATGTGGAGTGCCTGGCTCAATCCACGCCGGACACATAATTTTGTATATTTTGTATTAAACTACTAAATATCATAGTTAAGTCAAGACATTAAAATGAATTTTATTTAAGTATGATTTAAATAAATTTAAGTTATTTACTTTTTATTGATAATTGCCATCCAAATGATTCGTACATTTTAGTAATAGCTTTCAATCGAGCAAATATTATGCAACAAAAATTTATTATTATTATTTCATAGACAATTCCTATAACCGTCATGTGAATTAAAACAGTTGCCTCGATAACATATATAAACATGTACATCTTTTCATAGAACTCACGAGACACTACACCAATGAATATATTAATAATGCAACGTCGGTAAATTACTATATTTCCGTCGGAATTTTTTACAGTGAATTCTTTTAAAAAAAATGGACTAATGACCCAAAATAATATAAAAATAATATAAAATAATGCAAAACTATTTGAAAAGATATTAAGATTTTTTTTTAATAATTGAAACTTTTTTGTGTCATTTTTATACTTAAAAAAATCATCTTTTATTATATCAAATAAATTTAAAAACTCATTTGATTTTTGAACTAATCTCAACATTTTTAATGCCGTTATAAAGAAGCCTAATATAAGAATTACGCCAAAAATATAAGCGTTCGGGTCATTAATAAAATAGTAGCATTCAATTACACAACAAATAACTGTGAACATTTCTAAGATTAATGGAAAGGAAAACAGAAATAAGTAAGTTATGCGTTTCCATTCTGAAAATTTAAGTTGGTATAATGGCAAATATAGTGATTGAAGTTTAGCAAATTCCATGAATACATTGATTTTATAGAAGATATTTTCATTTGTATCACTCATAATGACGTTTATCATTTCCCTAAAAGAATAAAGTAAAATAAAGTTTAAATAAAATATATATAAGCTACAAATGTGTTAAAGAATTAAAATTTCAATTCCCAAGCCTTCTTTTAAGAGGATTTAGCGGATAGATTCCCTTTATTCGCAATACAAATAGTTTAAAAATATTGTACCATACGATTCATTAATCTCTATATATATACAGTGTGATTCATTAAAAATAAAAAACCCATTTTTCAGAAAATATTGAATATTTTAATTTTTGTTTAGGAAAATATTGTTTAATTCAAAAACTTTATAATATTATGTAATTAAATAATTTTTTTCATCCCTTCAGGGATAAAAAACCTTAACACGGGAAAGAAATTGCGTATTGTAACCAGTAAATAACATTATAAGGTAATGATTACTTCCGTCTATTGTATTTTGTATTGGCTTTCTTCAAATCTTAAAAAAATTTTAATCAAAATATTATTTGTAATTGTGAAGAATAACATAGAATATATTTAAAATATAGTTCTATATTTTAAAATTGATTAAAAAAAAGGTATAAAGGTATTTATGTAGACCATAAGTATTATGAGTTCTCAGTTAGATCTACTCTATACTGTATAAATATTTATAAAGGGTCGGCCTGATCAAGTGGGTAAAAACGTATGTTTTGGCACACGGGGTCCTGAGTTCAATCCCCAACAAGATTTTTCTTGCGATTTTTCTAATAGGTGGTGTCTGGCGCAAGTCGACCATAATACCCGTCCCATCCATCATTGCCCTAGCCAAAAACCAACTTTGACTTGTAAAAGAGAGCCACCACCCTCTGTAGCATGTTAAGTTCGGGAAATAGAAGAATGTGAAATTGATCATCATGTATAAATATATATATAATCTCTAAAGATTTAACAACGTTATATTCAATAAAAAATATTGTCTCTATAAACATTTTATCAACAAAATAATGCTGAATTAAATTTTAAAAAAGTAAATGTTAGAAGTTATGAGTTATAAATTTATAACAATAATAGAGTCATAACATGATATCTTTTTATAAAAAACAAAATTAAAACAGGTCGTGTTTACGAAGAAAGACTATTCGTTAAATGTTCAAGTTTTAATTATTTTCTATTACTTCAATGACAACTAAACATTGAAATACATTTCAAAATAACAACAATAAGTATACGTATATATTAAGTATACAATTGATTATTATAGATACACTTTTCAAAAATAAATTACTGGATATGTAGGTTTCAGTTCCTAGCCCTCGTACATACTTCGTGATAATCAAAAAAAAAAAATTGTAAAACTAATTAAAATTTAACGACTGAAAAATAAAATGAAATGTTGAGATAATCTATTGTTCTTAGGTAGTTTTGATAACTTAGTACTCCCAAATATATTGAAAAATTATTCATATATTTATATAAAAATATAATAAAAGAGAGAGAAATTATATTTAATACCCTAAAATGTTGTACTAATTTAAAAATATATTCTACTTTTTATTTTGTAAAAATATTTTTTAAATACAATAAGTTTTACCTAAAAATCAACTTACTTAAATTATTTTATATGCACTGATATATCATTGATGAGATGTTTATTTTTGAAAAAATTATTCTATATAGACTACTGACTCCATTAAAAACATATTAAAAAATGTATAGTCTTCAAAGCTTGATTCCTGACGTTAAAAAATGTCTTTAGATTTTAATAGATTCTATGAAAATAAAATTAATGTATGCGCTTAAAAATACCCATGTAAACACAAATTGTTTATGCACTATTCTAGTAGGATGCATTTTTTATAATTCCTAATAATTCTTTATCGACTTAATAATCGGTTTATAAAATAGCTATCAATATAAGATAGTGATATTTATTAATTTGTAGACAGTTACGTAAACACTTTGATGTAACCGTTTGAAGTTAATACAGTTTTAATCGAAGAGAAAATACATCATTAAAAACAATGTACTTAAATATTCAATATTATACGTAAGTAAAAATATGTCACGTAAAAAATTTAATTTTTACATTAAAATGGTGGAGGAATAATAGTTAATGACAGGAAATGATAATACCTCGTAAATAAAATAGCGTTCCCGTATATACTTTTTTTACTCTATACTTTATAATACATATAGCATTATTGTTAACTCTCTTTAACATTTCATTTTTTTAATAAATTTCTCCTTAAATAATAATAATATTGAAATTATTTTTTATGGCTTTGAGAATAGTAAATATCTTTTGATTTATGAGTGGTTCATTATTTTTTGGTTCTTATTACTTATAATGGTACCAATTATAATTTTGTAAATTGCAATATACATAATTAAATGAAATTAAATAGAAAATGATCTAATTAAGAAAACAGCAATGGAGCCATTACTTTGGAATTAGTTAGGAAATTAATTCCTTAACTTCCTTAAGATTTGCCTAGCAATAAAATAACTAAAAATCATACTCGCACTTTATCTATAATCTAAATTTCAAAATTATATATTGTACCATCAAGATTTTAGTTTATTAACACAAAAAAAATGTATCTATTTATTATACATATTTTTTATCATGTGGTTCTTAAGTACCAGATAGCAATATTTATATGAATCATTTTAAGATACGCGGATGGATTTTTAATTAAAAATAATTACACATGCACAAAAATTACAAATAACTGTGGAATTTTTAATCAGATAAATTATCACTTCAAAAATTTTTAATTCTAAAAGTTTATGAGAGGGTACCTTATTAAACGTGTTTAGACTATAATTTTTATAGATTTTAATCGAGGGGCATTTTAGGACTTTTTCCTTGGAAGACATTAAAAAGAAATTTGTAACTACTTCTTCACTCAAAGAAAAATAACAATTAATTTTAATAAATTTTATTTATCAACCAATGTAAAACCATTTTATTATAATAAAAAATAAATTATTGATTTGATATAAATTTTAATGAATTAATAAAATGTGATTCATTTTTAATAATTCAGTTTATCATAAAATTTATTATATAATAGTATATTTAATTTATTAAATATACTATTATACCAATAACTGAATTTATTGCGACAATAAAAACAAAAATGTAATAAAAAATTCTAAAACGAAACTTACATGAAGAAACCTGAACCTATAAAAACTATAGATCCATCTGATACTAATACATTATTTGGAATTTTTATTTTTCCGACAAATATTCTCAATATATATTGAAATAAATAAAAAAGAAAAATTTATAACTTTAAAAGTTTAGATTACAGTTTATACTCCAAGACTTACTTTACTTTTCCCTAGTTACAAATTGTTGGTAAATACTAAATATTGATAGTTACGCCTGTGAAATGTATACTTCTAGGCGTATATGGGCAGTGTATAGGTTCACTCGGAAATATCTAAAGAGCATGGTAAATTTAGATGTTACAATGCATTTAAATTTTGATTCTTTCTGTCAAAATCATTCTGTCTACTTCACTCAGCAACCTCCTTTTTCAATATCACTATGTTGCTAAATTGTCAGACAGAGTTCCCGCTCACGCAAACAATCAACATTTTCCCCGACAGTGTGGGTACTTCTAGCTAACCTAACACTCTTGTCAACCACAATCTTTCCACGCTCCACATTTGATATTCCAAAAATGTGTATATGGCGTTATCCCTCTATGCTGACAAATTTTTGCATCCTTGGTCTAGTGCTTTATTGATCTTTTGTAGATACTTACCAAGTATCCATGTCCTGTAATAATTTGAAGTAAGTGGAAGTCTATTTCACCATGAGCTTTCCACGTCCATTTTTCCAGATCATGTATTAAGATTTTATCCATATGCCAGTAACTGCAACATCTAGTTGTATTTTCCAGATACTCATGTCTACTGTCGTAGCGTAATCCTCCAGTCAGAATCCCTGCGTTTAGAATTGCAACGTAAAACATACGCCTGCTTCTTTCCACTACCAGAAATTCGATTGAAGGAGTTCCTGAGTGAACATTGACAGATATATAACTGACTATATGATAAGTAGTGCATTTAATGTATACTTGATAGGGTTTTATGCTGAACTTCTCTTAACACATTCTCATTTAGCTTAACTCTCTGGAACGCATTGGCCCAGACAGCAGCCTCACACAGTAATACGGAATGCACCACACTAGATAAAAGGTGCCGTAGTAGTTTTCTAGATACTTTCCTCAATCTTTGTAGATTGAGCATGAGACTTATCAGGTACTTTTTAACCTTTTCAGTCGCTACTTTAAAATGGGGTTTGAATTTAAGGTCTCGGTCGATAATAAAACCTAGGTAATTTAACGATTGATTTACTGAAATAATGCATTTTCAATTCTTCAAGCAGGAAGAGTATCTTTATTATTTTTTTTTTTTTAATGCAACTGCTTCAGTTTTCCTTATGGTAAGAGAAAGTCTCAGCCGTCAGAATTCAACCGCAACCGTTTTCAGAGGTTCTGCCAATCGATCTATCACTTCAATTTAAGTTGAGCCAGTTGCTACTTTCATGATGTCACCTGCAAACACTTAAATTGCAGTACCTGTTGGAAACTGCCGTTTAACTACCATTTTATACGTTAAGTTTTACAGTAATGGATCTACCACTCTACTACCCTTAGGGTATACCACATGCGACTAAAATTACTAACTCCTGTTCAATGTAGGGACATTTTATCATCACATTACATTTTGAAAAATAATTCTATGATAATCTGGAATTTTCCGATAGTTCAAACTTATAAAGCTTGCATGATTTTCCGCCAGCCAATTGAATTAAAGTCATTCTGAACATTTTAACTAGTTATACACTAGTTGAACACTGTAGTTAAACAACTAGGATTCACTAGATGAAATACCGTCAAGATTTCATTGATTACGCGATTAGCTTTCTTTCTGTGACTAACATGATGTACAGCGTTATCTAATTCCTCTTGTAAGAACAATTCTTCATTTTATGATAATTTAAGAAAGGTCTGGAAAATACTCTGTTGTAACACTCTCGATGAAATCGTTTTTCATTCTTAATTTTCTCATGACTAACTTGTATGGCTTACTCTATGAATCACAATCAACCGATTAGATAAGCTATTCCCACTATTCAGCCTTTATTCTAGTTTTTTTCGACTTAGTTCGCTATACAATGATTGGAGACGCTTATATGGTTTTAAATAAATTTTCTGGAATGTTGTTAAGTTTATTTATATAACATTTAGTTATTTATATTATTACCACAATTAATGTTTGATGTGCTACTGAACTATTTATTTAACTTAATAATCAAAGCTTCATGTTTATATATATATATTTATTTACATAACTGATTTATAAAATACCAATTTTCTTTTATGTCTATGAATTTAACCATATAAACCCAACCAATCGATTAAGCTAAAAAAAATTTCTGAAACAAATAAATTCTGTTAAAATATATAGACTCTATAAAGCTTCAAACCGTATACCATAGTTAAACTATTTTGTGGTCCACAGATCATTTACAATGGATGAGCCCATCAGCATATTTTTGTCATTAACACATTTTTTCATACGAGCATCATCTTTTAACGTCTTTGCGCATGTGCATTAAACTCTGATTGGTGAGCTATAGTGTAAAAATAATAATATTTTCAGTTTTTATTCTCTTGATATAAATGCTTTATTATTTATATTATAATTGAATAGTTTACACACCATATTGAATAAAATATTTTCATCCTATATCTATTTAAAATTACTTATCTTATTAAAATATATATTAATATAATATATTATTTAAATAATGTAGTTTATTTATTTATGAATTTATTAAATTAATTGATTTAATAAATTCTTTAAAGAAGTTCCCAAAACATAAAACCTTTTTTTCTATCATAAAGAAATACAAAAAACAGGGATATTGGTTAAATAAAAGTTAAAGTTCAGTCCCTATTTTTCTTTTCATAGAAAATTATTGTGAATTATTTAAAGTTTAGTTTATGGTGGTGAAATGTAAGAACATCGTAGCAAATTGTTAGTAGTGGTTATCGCTTTTCTATGGTCGTAATTTCTCGAGCTATAATATAGTCCTGCATATTATGCAGGTTTATTCATTAATTAATTCATTTCGGATGACTTACTGATAGATATCTGAAGCAGGACCTGTATGCGAGAATAACCATGATAGTTGTTATCTCTAGATAACAAATTTAAGTGATAACACCGTTAAAAAATATAAGAAATTAATCAACTTTTCAATTTAATTAAAATAAAATTTTATGAAAGTGCAACATTTATCAACTTCTGTGTTGGCGTTCGAGTGCAAGAGAAATTAATATTTTGTCAAAAAACTAGTATAAAAATTATAGTTTTTATCAAGTAAAATTTTTCTAATAAAAAAAAAAAATGTAAAAAATTCAAAAAAATCATTTAATTTATCCAATATTTCAAAAATACTTTTATTAATAAATTATGTCGTTTGACGATGGTGTACAAGCAACAAATAATGATGCGACTAAATGCAAATATTCTGCTGTAAAGATGGGTTACTGGGAAGATGATTTTATACATCATTTTGTGTCTGGTTTTGAACGAAAAACACCTGAAATAAATAGAGGATACTACGCTCGTACCAAAGGTGTATCTATGTTCATGGATAAATTTCTTAAGGTAGAAAGTTTTATCTTAAAATGTTTATTTTAATTTTGCATTTATGTTAATCAAAATGTTTCCAATAGAAAACTGGATCAAACTGCCAGATTATTAATTTAGGAGCTGGGTTTGATACATTATATTGGAGACTTAAAAATAGAAATTTAAGTGTAAATAATTATGTTGAAATTGATTTTGCTTCAGTAACATCAAAAAAATGCTATTTAATAAAGCGAAGTAAAGTCTTGTTGGATTCAATTTCTTCTCAGGGTACAATTATTTATTTAAATACTTAATTAGTTTTCTATATAAAATACTCTATTATTTTAGAAGGTGAAGTTCGAATAACGGGACCTGATTTACATGGATCTGATTATCACATTATAGGAACTGATCTAAGAAATCTTGCAGAAATTGAAAAAAAAGTTGTCCAAAGTGGTATTAATTTTAAAACTCCTACAATGTTCCTCACAGAATGTGTTCTAGTATACATGGAACCAGAAAGCTCAGCATTTTTATTACAATGGATTGCTAAAAAATTTGATGATGCATTTTTTATTAATTATGAACAGGTTGGGATTATTCGAATTGAATCAGTGTCTTACAATGAATGATAAAATTCAAGTATATATTCTTGAAGTTGTAACTAATTGATGAGTTGTATTATTTATTGAAATTTTACTCATTATAAAAGTTGATTAACTATTCTACACACAATATCTTCAAAAATACAAAATAATTTCATTTTCAAAAACTTATAAAATTATAACTCCTTCAATAGATATTGAAGTTTTTAATTGATTATTTATCTGGCATACATCATAGAAAGTCATCTAATTAAAAAGATGACTTTTAATAATAATAAGTTTAATAGAAAATAACTTTTAAACTAGTGTTTTTGGAGATATTATTGAAACCTGAGTCTATTTACATTAATTATTAGGCATTCTGCATCGTACTACTCCTTCCACTTATAAAAATAATAATATCTTCTAAAATTATTGTTCAAAGTAATTATCAACCAGTCATTGTCTTAATTATATTATATTCAATATAAAAACTAGTTAATTTTATATGTATTCATTTTAAAACTCAATTTGATATAGATTTAAGAGATAAAAAAAGGGATAGCAAATAATTTTTTTTTAATCTAATGCATATTAAAATTATAAGATTTTTGTGTTTTTGAATATACTGTGTAAGGCATAGTTAATTAATCATCTTGTATTATATATTACTTAAGATGCTACTTTGTTAAAATTTTCTTTATGCCATAAAAATAACCAAGTATTTTGGTTAAAACGAATTCAGCAAATTAGTATCAGTTAGTATACTTAAAGTAACATTTTGATGAGCTCAAATTCAAGAATTAATACTTGAAATGGTTAAAAATTATTGCGAGAAACTTTGAAAGTTGTTCAATATTTAGAAGAAAGACTTAATACATTTTAGGTGAACATGGGTGATACTTTTGGTAGAATCATGCTTGATAATCTACGAAATAGGGGATGTCAATTAGCTGGTGTTGAAAGATGCCTTAATTTACAAACACAAATAGATAGGTGATTATACGTGGCTTTCATTCAATTTATTATTTAAAAACATGTATATGGTGAAGCAGGGTAATTGTAAATGATTTTTTAAATAAATGCAAACATTTTTATTTCAAACTTACATGTAATATGATAGCAAACAAATAATGGCCTACATTTTTCAATTTAAAATAAAATCTGTAAAATATTCTAAGAGAAAAAATGTATTTACAATTACACCACTTCACTTTATTTAGTTAAGTATATTTCAATACATAAAGTATATATTTTTTTAATGTACTATTAAGAGCGTTCTAAACATTCATTATTTTTTATGTACATATTGATTTGAAAATGCTTCAAAAATATTTTATTTTCTGAAGGTTCATCAACACTGGATGGGAAAGTGCTCGTTCTTGGGACATGAATAATATTTATGAACATTTACCTGATGCAGATAAATACCGTATGGAAAGACTTGAAATGCTTGATGAATTAGAAATTTTACAACAGCTGCTTCAACATTACTGCATTACAATTGCTTGGAAAGGAAGAACTATGGCAGATATTGATTACTTATAGCAGTTACAACAGCAAGTTATGAATGATATTGAACATAACTTGCGCATTGGATGTTGATTTAAAATATTTTTATAGCTTTTAAGTTCAACTCCTAATATAATATAATCAGTTGATATTTTATGTGTAAAATAATTCATTTTTGTATAAAGAACTGTGAATCATAGTAGTTTAGAAATGTAGTTAACATAATACATATTAAAATTGTAATATATTTGACATGGTATCATGTCATATTACCAAGTCTTTGATATCAAAACTTAGTCATATATAACAAAAATATAGTAAATGTCCTTGTCTTTAAAACAAACTAACCATATGTTTTCTAGAAATTAAAACCCATCTAAAAAAAGATTAATATGTAACTAAGTAAAAAGTATTATCAAAAATATTTATAAACCAAAGTTTCCTTTTTAGAGAACTAATATATATTGATTGTACAAATTATAGCATTAAAATATATACAAATCTTTGTTAAAATATAATACATTTTTCTTTAAAACTTTAATCTTTTTACAATATTTGGTTATAATTATTCACAAATTTATCACATTTAGTTCCTAAAAATCAACAGATTACGAAAGCAAAAGGAATGTCTCATAAAAATATGTAAAATTTACTATAATCTTTTTTTTTATTATAAATATATACAAATATTTTATAAACATATTTATGTAATATAATTAATAAAAAATGGCCATTCTCTAGAAAAATATGATTAAAAAAACTAATTATTTTACAACACTTTTTAAAACAAAAGATATTTGGCAAAAAATAAGGTAAAAACTAAATAGGAAACATAGTGTTGAACCTATGTATAATACTTGAATTGGGTGATACAAGTATTATACAAGTACAGTTATGTAACTCTGAAAAATCAAAGAGAATATCCAAGATATATTTATAATAACCAAATTCATAGTATAAAATATTTAAAAAAGATTTAAATAGTTCATTAAGAGGTGGTGCTTCCTTTATTTAGCCAAATACTACACAATTGAAATATTAAAATAAATGTTTAACTTTTAATATTAAGTATGGGGCGAATTTTTAATAATTTTGCAAAATTGAGATTGCAATTATAAAAATTAAATTAAATCATTTATTATTGAAACATTACAATATCTAATATAACTGTAAATTAAAATTTATAAATAATGATTTAATTGTTAACTCTATTGATTAATGATCAAAAGTGTACTACATAATTCAGTGTCAATTATTTTTTGCTAGAAAATAGTAACTGAGGAACATAATAAGACTATTTAATTAAATTATAAGTACTAATTAATTACTAAATAGTATAATTATATTTAATTGTCAATAATATGACCATATTAAGTAATAAATTATAACTATTTCAGCAAAAAATTTGTGTCGAGAGTAAAAATTTACTATTTATATCAAAATACTTATATTACTAACTCTAATAATTATACTAAAAATTTAGACTAAATTGAGATCTTAAGTAATGAAAAAATAAATACATTATTTATTATCAAATAACAGTTTCAGAATTAACAGAAATATTACTTCGATAAGCAGGAGGTGGTTGTTCTGATGGTGCAAAAAAAGTAGAATGTGTGGGGGGTATTAGCCTTGGTTTACCACGTGCTCCATGAAAGTTAGAGTAAGTTGATCGTGCAGAAGTTGGCCTCTCTGACTCCGTATCTAACGCTGGATTAATAAAACCTCTATTGACATTCCTCAATTCAACGCGACATTCAGGAAACAGTGGATGATTTGAATCGTTTGATGTTGATGAATCATTTAGTCCACTATCTAATAATTAAATAGAATAGGTTTTTTGTAAAATCCCAACTTAATATATAATAATGTTGAATCATTTACTAGAGTATTGTTGTTGTATAAGCCTAGAAACAGGATTTTTATGTCTACGACTTGAATATTGTGAGCTTGATTGTCTTCTCAAGTATGGTGGAGGAGCTTGATGAGGAGGAGGTAGAGTACCTCGTGATGTCACACTTCGTCTTTTTACTCTTCTAGGTGTCATAGGCTTATTATGAGAATTTTGAGTATCTAAATCGTCATCTAAATAAAAAATAACTAATGTGACAATAATTTTTATAATTATTCAAGAAAAGAAAATGTTCTATAGATAGAACTATGCTGCTTGGTTTAGATCAAATTATATAGCAAAAGAAGATAGATTTTTTATTGAAAATATGCCCAAAATTAATTAATCTATATAAAATGCAAATTTAAAGATTTTTTGATTTCACATTCAGATTTTTAGTTTCAAGTCTTGTAAAATAACCCATTTAAAATAAAAATTCCACTTAAAATAACTATAGAGTTAATTCTATTATAAATTTAAAAGTATATAAATGCTCTTATTGTTCTTAAATATTTATAAAATAATTTTTTTAACAATTGGATTATACCATCACTTTCAGTATTGGTGCTAATCACATCAATATCTTCTCCTCTTCTTGAACTATATTCTATTGAGTAAATTGGTGTAATGGTGCTTTGAGCTTTACTTTTATAATATATTCCTGAAATGTGTTATTTTGTTATTATAAAAATGTATTAAATAAAAATAATCTAAGATCTTAAATTTATTAAGACAATTTTTGATATCAAGAGATAAATAAATATAAAAATCTAACATACCATCATCTCTAGACTTTGAACAACATGATACATATAAACTGCATAATATACCACATATCTATAAATATAAATACAAACAAATTTTTTTTATAATATAGGATGATTAAGATTCTAATTAAATTATTTATTTTATAAATATTATTAATAGTTTTTGACACATATATTAGGTTGACACAATATAAATCAATATTCAAAATGAGAGAGGTATATTTGATTAAAAATTAAATAAATCAAACTCCTCAATTTTTTAATCAAAGTCAGTTAAATGATTTAGTTGACATTTAGATTACTCTAAAGAATCTTCAAAATTATTAAGCGTTTAAAAAATCATTAAGCATTTTCAGCACACCATTTGAAAACCAGAAACGTTTTATTAGTACTTGTTATTAATTATAAAACATAGTGAACTAATTAGACTTAATTAATATTTATAGTCATACTAACAATTTACTTTGATAGTATTTATGCTATAATTTATTTAATTTTCAATAAATCTGTACCAAATTTTTACAAAAGTAAATTTACATATAAAAGTTCTATATTTATTTTAAAAAATTAAACAAAACTTCAATAAGTTAAAGATTTTTAAACTCTAAAGAGTTTTTAAACTTTGAATTTTGTGCAAATTTGGACAAAAATTTATAGTTTTTTTACTCATATGTCAATGTAAAACTAATTCATGTTGAAGAACTGGACATTTTACTAGTTGGAACAAGTAGTAACCTAGTGTATATATACAAGGAAATTCACTTATTATAAACCCCACTTAATTAATCAAAAAACAAAAATAATATTAATTTTTTTATTGGTTTCTTTTAGTATAATTTTTTTCTTAATGTATTAATAATAACATTTTTTTATGTTTATCCCTTATACCTTAAGGGTATCAACATGAATTTTTCATATGACAAAACACATAATTAATTAGCTTATTTGTAAGATAATGATTTAATTACGAAAATGATTGGTCAATAACAACTTTGGGACTAGTATTTTGGAAATTATTAACAATTTAAAGTAATGACTTGAGATGAAAATTGGGACTACTATTTTTATAACTAAACATTCTTCTGCTGTACTCTTCCAGTCACTTAGATATGAATATGTCAATAAATTCCAAAATACTAATCCAAAATTGTAGTCTTTAAAATTTTTTTATGCACAATCAAAATTTTGTAAAATTAAATTATTTAATGCATTTTAAATAAAATTACTTTAACATTCATAAATACAGTACTTAATTATAATATAAAATATAATATCTCAAAATAAATACAATAGAAACATTTTAGAATCATCTCTTATAACTTAAAGGAATGTCAACTTAATATTTTTAAATGACAACATACATATTTAACTAGCTTATAAATTTAGGAAATAATATAATTAAGAAAATGAATGATCAATAACAACTTATTGATTATAGAAGTTATTAACAATTTAAAGCAATAACTGGAGGTGAGGAGTAGGTGCTGTTATTTTCCCAACCGTATTCTTTATCCCACCTAAGTATAAAAATGAGAATAACATCCAATGTACTGTCCAAAAAAGTTGTTATCGATCAATCATTTTCTTAATCAAATAATTTTCTATTTTATAAGTTAATTAAATATGTATGTTACCATTTAAAAAAATAATGTTGACATCCCTATACATTATAAGGGATAATAGGAAAAAGTAATTATTAGCTGATAAATCAAGAATTACATGTAAGTAAAAGAAATCAAAATTCATTTTTCCAATATTATATTTATTTTATAAGTAATGCGGTTTATGATAAACTGATCACTGTATAGATAATATTTATTTTTATTTATATTAATATACATTATTATTGGCCGACCCCAAGTAGTTGGGATTAAGGCGAGGAAGAAGAAAATTAATATACATTATTAATTAAATTTTTAGCTATTACATTTATTTATATTATATATAATTTTTTTTATTTATATAAAGAATTGTATAGGTAGGCCTTGCCTAACGCGTAGAAACATACGTTTTGGTGAATGGATTCCAGGTTCGATCCCTGAGATTTTTATTTTAATTATGTCATTAGTGGTATCTTGTCTCTGGTGCAAGCTGGCCATTATACCGTCATTATTTGTTTAGCCAAGAACCATTTTTGACTCCCTAACATGTAATAGAAGGCCATCACCCTCTATAATATGTAAAATTTATCTTTTTTTTTAATTTATATAAATAAATGTAATACCTATAAGTTACATTATTTATATATAACATAATATAATAAATTATATTTAATCATTATTTTTATTAATTATTTATTATTGACAATTTGCTTATTTCATTATTAATAAAAATAAATACTAATAAATTATTAATATGAATAATAAATAGTATCTAAATTTTTTTTTATTAATAATGAAATAAATAAATTGTCAATAATAAATAATTAATAAAAATGTAGCACTTTATTTTTGAAAATTAAAGTATTGTTGTTTAAAGTGCTTTAATTAATTAAATTTAACACGTGTGCAATTGTGAATTTATGTAATTAAATTATTTAAAATAAAAAATGCAGTGCATTTTTTTAAATTCACATTAAGTGAATTAACTTAACAAATTATAAATTTATATGTATTAGTAATAAATTATTGTTATTAAAATGTAATATATTAATTAAAATAAATATTTTTATACTAAAAATCCAGTTGTATGAATTTAAAATTCAAAATATTTATATATATTATTATAAATTATAAACAATCAAAGAATATAAATGTTAGTCAAACGTGACAGCTGACCATGATGTGCGATAATCTTTTTTATTTGGACCCTCTGTAAAGAAATTTTACTTCAAAATTATTAATATTATTTTTATTTTTCGATTAATTAAATGGTCAATAATAATAAATAAATATATATATATATATATATGTTTGACTTACAGCAAAAAGTATTTGAAGAGTTGCTTGAATCATCTCGATTTTTTGATAATCTACAACACAGCCTGTTATTAAATCTGGCCTGACAGTTTTGATAGCATCTTCTTCAATGCCTGTATGATTGGGATAAAAAAATATTTTACAACCAGGACCATTAGATTCCCACCAGCTAACACTTTCTGCTCCAAGACTCATGATATCATAACTCTAAAAAAAATACATAATAGTATAATTAATTTAAAATAAACATATAATGTTAACTTATTGTAAAGTCATGTTTAAAAAATGTTACAATAATTTCATGTATAAATATATATTCTTTATATTTTTAATACAATGCAAAAGAATGTATTATTAACTTTTACATTACCTTTAAAATAATTATCATATAACAATAACAATATAACTTCTAATAAACAGCACTGTAAACTATATGCATTTATAAGTTTTGTTTGAACTACTTTAAAGGGTCCCATGTTTGTGTAACTTTATGTAGAATTATATAGTAATGCGGAAATATTTTCAGTTTCAAGGGAGTATTAACCCCTAATCAACGCACAATTATAACATAGGAAAAAATACATTATTAAGTTTTTAAGTTGATTAATAAATATTTGTACTGGCTGAAGGTGTTTTTAGATAAACTTAACAAAATGTAGTAATGCATATAATTCACATTCCTGTTAATGAGTCTCCCTAACAAGTCATCAATTAAAAAAACCTATTAAATTAATATAACTGATCTTTATATCATAAATTTAATGTTATGTATAAATATTTTTTGATATTTTTAATATTTTCCTAACAAAAATATCATTAAAAAAAAATATTGTTTTAATCATTACGAAGGACATGTGTTTGAAAATAATTTATTTTTTGCTTGCAAAAATTAATTGAATCAGATATTTTTATTTTTTATGAGAGTATTTGTCATTATATGCAATTACTTAACATTCTAGCTTAAGTTAACTCTAGTTCAATATTTTATATAAAAAGTGTTCAATAAGTAAGGAAACAGGTCAATCGATACAAACAATGAGAACAATAGAAACCCTTTTCCTTACTTACTGAACACTATATATATATGTATAGTGATTCATTAAGAATAAGACACTCATTTTCTCAGAAACTATTGAAAAAGTTTAAAAAAAAACTATTCACACAAAAAACTATTAAAATGATAAAAAAAAAAAATTTACAAACAATTTCATTCTTATAATTTTTTTTAAGGTTATTCATCTATGATTAATAATGATTTTATCTACTAATTTAATTTTCTTTTTAAATACATTTATAAAAAGAAATTAGATTTCTAAACATATGTAATAAATAATTATGTTATTTACCTGTTTTAATATTTTATTTTTCAAGTAAAAATGTAATTAATTTATAATACTTTGATTGCAAATGTATTATGTAATTAGACGGTAAACATGTTAATAAACAATTAAGTAACAATGTGATTAAAGTTAGAAGTATTGCATTTTTGCAATATTAAGGTGTTAAAGGTATATATACTATTATAGATCATTTTCTATTTTAAATATGTATGTTACCATTTAAAAAAAGTTAATTTTAGTCATGTAAGTTATAAGGGAAGATATTAAAAAATAATTAATAGCTGATAATCAAAAAATATATGTAACTAAAAAAGCCAATATATTTTTTTTAATATTGTATTTATTTTGCGAGTAATCCAATGGTTTACGATATACCGATACGATATACAATGACTATGAGACTATGTGAGAAATAAAATTTTTAAAAATCACTTTGACTAAATTTTGTTGATGTTGTAACTGTTGCTCGGGCAAACTATAACAATAGTTTTTATCACTTTATCAATACCATATACACACATACTTTTTTTTTATATAAATACTTAAACAAAAATTTTTTTTTAATTTAAAAAAGAATTAATACAACACATTTATAGTCAAATAGTTTAAATAAAAGTTTACCTACACCTAAATTTATTAAGATGACTTTACTCACATTTAATTTTATATCCAAGTAATATAAGACGACAAATATATTCCAAATAGACCAAACAATACTCCATACTGAATACTGAAAAAATTCATAATAAATTAACAAAAAAAAAAAAAAACATATTATGATTAGCATACCGATAAAAGATATAAAACATCTGACTGTATTACACCAAATATTCCAAATATAATAAATAAGAGTTCAAAAAAATTTGCTAGAACTGATCCCCACATAAATCCAAGGAAGTCAAATACTTGTCGTGCTCCTACGGAAACCTATTTTTAAACAGAAATTTTATGAATAATAATAGTATTTAAGTTGATTTATTTTACATACCATTTGAAACATGAAAATTGTAAGTAATAAATACTTGCAAAATTCCATGACATTGCTATAAATTTTCTCAATAAATAATCAATATAAGTAACAAAATGAAATTCTGATTAATTAATTAAGAACATCCATAAATTAAGTTGAAATAACAATTATGATATATTTATTCAATTATTAGTAACTTAAATAAAAATTAATTCATTTTAGAAAAATATTAAAATTTGTATAATTAAAACTATTAAATTCTAATAGGCATTTAAATATACTGTACTAGATATAATTATTAATTGAAAATGTTACAATTAATCAAAAACGAAATTTACCAACTATAAAATCGCACAATCCCAAAGTAAAAATATAGGATTATCAGAGCAGGTGATAAATGCTTCACAATTCACCCCACTTGTAATACCTTTCATAATACAAAAATTGGTAAGAGAATCTGATGGTGTATAGCACTTGTTTTGTTTATATATATTTACCTATACTTGTGGGTGAAAGAACCTGTTCCAGCATGGTACAGTTTAGCCATTAATGATTTTAAAAATACCGTATAGCGATATACGATATCGTATTTATGAAACGACGATTTACACTTATTATTGGTTTAATAAACCCTTATTATAATTTTTATTTTCAAAATAATTTTCCAGTAATAATTTTTCTGAAATATCTTAACATAACTTATTTTTATGATTTATTATTAAAAATATTAAACCGGTTTTTTTTTCAATTTTAAAAATTATAATTAGTTTATAAGAAAAAAGATCTTTATAATAACAAGCTGTCAACCTAATTTTTAGAATTAATCGTTTTTGAGAAAAAAATATTTAATTGTAATTTTTATTCGGTGTTTAACAGTTCATTTTTTTTTTAATATTAATTAATTGACAATTTTATAAAAGTATAAATAACTATATATTCTATTCAAGTAGTTTTTACATGATTTATTTATTAGTACTGTGTTTGATTTTATATATAGAAATACAATTGCACAGTATAGAAAAATTATTAATAAATATACAAATTATTAATAAAGTATAAAAATAATGCATTTACAAACGAACAAAGATATATACAAACTTTTCTATCATTGACGAGTTTATTATATATCAACAATATATACAAATGAATAGAATTTATTTTACAAATGTTACAATGACTATTAATTTTTACAATGTTTGTTAAAAATTAGAATTTAAGACTGCTCTTGTTTTTGCTGAAGATCAGTATGAATAGAAATTATGTGACGGCCAGGAATCATAACAAGACCTAAAAGGCGAGATTCTCCAGTGTCTAAATCTAAAAAAATAAAATAATTTTTTAAATACACACATACATTTCTTTATAAAAATAAATATACATATACAAAATAATTCACTTATCATGAACCATATAATTAATCAAAAATTAAAAATAATGTAAATAATTTTTTTATTAATCTCTTTTAGTTTAATGGTTTTCTAATTATCATAAAAAATTTCTTATGTTTATCTTTTATACTTTATAAGGGTATCAAATTTAATTTTTCAAATGACAACACACATAATTAACTAGCTTCATGTATCTTATTAATAGCTAGTTAATTATCTAAATTAGATAATGATCTAAATAAGAAAATGATTGGTCGATAACAATTGTAAAACGGGAGGTGAAGATTGAGTACTATTCCTCACACCTAGATATGAATATGTCAATAAATTTCAAAATACTAGTTTAAAAGTTGTTATCGACCAGTCATTATCTTCATTAGATTATTATCTTACAAATAAGTTAGATAATATGTCATGTCTTTTGAAAAATTGAAGTTGATACTCTTATAAGGTATAAGAGAGAACATAAATTTTTTTTATAAATTTTTTAACTAAAAAAAGCCAATTAAAAAACTATTAATATTAATTTATTTTTCGATTAATGAAGTGCTTTATGTTAAGTGAACACCCTATATATATATATATATAAACGGTAGCACAGTGTGAGCATGTCATAGTTGGAACAAGTATAGATGATATCTGACAGTGATTAAAATCACTATTATAAGAAACCTTTTGATATAAATCTGTAGATATTGTTTAATTTTAAGAAATTGGTAGATTATTCAAAAGCAAAATCTTAAAATTAAAATTAATTAATTATTAAAAAAATCATTGCCAAGGGCAATGATTTTACTGAATCGCAAAAATTAGTCGCATTTGTCATTTGATAAAATTGGCAATTTAAACTGATTCAAATGTTAAAATTACTTTTTTTTTGACTTTAAAGAAAAAAAAAATTTGAAATAAGTTTAACTTTATATTCTATGTCTATTAGATTTATTTAATATTCATGAAAATCAGTGTACTCCCCTTATAAGGTATAATACAATAAATTAAAATACAATACCAAGAATTTTAACACAAAAAAACCCAGCACAGTGGGGTCGTGGCATAGTTGGGTCCAGTATAGGTGATACCTGACAGTGATTAAAATCACTATCATAAAAAATGCTTCTATACAAATCTGTAGATAGTGTTTAATTTAAAAAAAAATTTTCTAAAAAAAGTAGGTCAAGTGAGAGCTGAGAAAATAAATGATAGCTACAAAAAATAACCACATAGTAAAATATTAATATGAAATTACGGTAGGTTTGGTGTTCAGTGAGAGCTAAAAATAGTATTGTTAAGATTAATATGGAGTCAGCAAATTTTTTATTACAATTTATGGTAAATTTATCAGAAAAGCTCGATTTTTTTTTAATTTTTATCATAATAGATCACTTAAATAGAAATCATAGTAATCATTTCTAATTAACTTTTGGTGTGTAAAAAGATTTTACAATGGAAATATTTAGAACTTAATTAATTTTGATTTACTTTAACTAAAAGAACCAATAAAAAAAAAGTTGTTAAAAAGATTTACTCAATTGAACGTATTATGAAATTTGATTATAATTGTAAAAATCCATTGTTAAATTGAAGTGAAACCAAAAATCATTTTTTTTAGATTTATGATTTATATAACAAAATGTATCAAAAAAATTTGGAATGTTTTAGACTGGTAGTAGCACATATAAATACAGTAAAAAATTTACAATTTACAAAGTAAAGTTATTTACTTTTGTAGTTGAATCTTTTATGATATTAAATCTAATTTGACAATAAATACTTTAACAATATTAGAAATGAATGATTTTAATTGTTTGTATGGTTAAAGCTGGTTAAGCTACTTTTTATTTAATTATTGGATTTTTTTTTAATTTTTGAGGGTAATATTTAAAACTAAATGCGCATTGTAATTATTTGACATATTGTTGAAAAAAGTAGGTTAAGTGAGGGTTGGAAAAATAAATCGCAGCCACAAAAACACATAGTAAAATAATATTAACATGAATAAGAAATTTATCTTCTCATGAGGGCATCACTACAGTGATGTGATCTTTGATATTTATTGAAGTTAATGAATCTAAATGAGATAAAAATCAAATGAGTTAAACATTTTTTTCTAACTCAAAAAGAATTAAGAAAAAATTCAGTGCCACAGGCGTGAAAGACCCAATTGTTACCGTTTTAGAAACCATACGTCGCATTCGTCACTTAATAAAAATGGAAATTTATCTAGTTCAAATTTTAAAGTTATTTTTCTCGACTTCAAAGAAACAAAAAAATTTAAATATGTTCAACTTTTTATAATATGTCAATTAGATTGATATAATATTAAGTGTAATGCCTTTATAATAAAATAAAATACAAAACCAAGAATTTTAACACATAAATAGCATATTTTTGAATACGGTAGCTATTATCACCATGAAGACAAATTAAAGTCCTTCATATTTATTAAAGTTATTGAATCTATTTATAAACTTTTGTAAGGTATTAAAAAAAAATAATAAAATACAAAATTGAAAATTTTAACACAAAAATAGCAAACGGAAACCATTTTTACCATGAAGTCATAACATAAGGTCCAAAATTTTTTTTTTCCATAATAAAGTATATGACATTAATTTTAATTTAAGATATATATAAAAGTGTCACTATTTCCAAAACACTTTCAAAATATAAATTGCAAAAAATGTCAGTTTTAAAATGTGCAAAAATAATTAAAAATTTTTTTTTTTTGAATAATTGACAATTTTATACAAAATTTTTCATTTTTCCATGTTATTTAAATGGGGAGGAAAGAACTCTTAAGCAACCTCTTAGTGTTTATCGTAATACAAAACAAATAGCTTTAAAAAGCAAAGATAAGTTAAGTATATAAAGATGAAAATGGAATCTGTGTAGATATTCATGTAAATGTGATCGAACCTTCGACATTGTTAGCTTGGTTAACAATTTAGAGTAACGCCCACTGTCATGAAGCTTTTGTTATAAGAAGATACGAAGGGCAATATCTAGATATGAGGTACAGACGAAGTGCAAAACACAAATACTTCGGGATTAGGAAAGGATAATGAAGTATAAGGTGCAGACTAAGTATAAGAATAAGTACTCATAAATTTAGAGGATAAAAGTAGGCGAGTGTAAATGGTATCAAAAAGAATGAATAAACTCTTGACTTGATATAGTAAACAGGACAGTGACAATCAAGTACCGAGACTGAAGAATGACACAAAGCAAATGGCTACATACTGGAGTAGACTGATAATCATAACCAAGTCCTTAAGATTTAAATAGTGTTAAATTATTTGTTAATTTGTAATAATTATTTTAATTTATCAGTCGCTATTAGCAGATGGGCGATTTATATTTTATTTTATAATATTTTTTACAATAGTGGTAATGTGATACCATAATAGGCTGTTAAAATTTTCAAATATGAACGGTTATCTTTTTTTAATGTATGTTAATGATTTTTAGAGAATGAAGTCTAATATTTATATAAATTATTACCTTTTCTATTAAAATACTCATAGCAGGTACTAAGAATAATATTGGCATCTTTATCAGTGCATACAAATGTTCCAATCAGAATTCGACCATCTGTTAGATGAATTTTCATGGGTTGATTTAACCATTCTAAAAGTTTTCTTCTGCCTTCAGAATACTGCTGTAAATAAACTACTTAGTTAGTATTATAAGATACTCCAGATTTAGGTAAAGTTTAATTTTTGTTTTAATTTAAACACTCATGAATATACTATGAGAACAGGTATATGGACATGATAACCAAATTCTCCCTTCTTCTTTTTGAAAACAATCTAGGAAACTTAGTATGCTCATCTTATAACCTTTATTATTTTGTTAAATATAATTATTACTCCCCTATAAATGATTTGTTAAACAATAAAGTCAGCTTTTTTTTTAAATATAAATTTTTTTATAATTTTGAAATACAATAATAATAATTTTAATACACACAAAAAAAAATAGCTTTTTATAACAAATAAATGTAATTTTTTTTATAATATCTTTTTTTAAGTAAATCAAAAATATATTATTAAAATAAAAAAGTTACTCCAGCTGATATCTCTGACGCTCCTTTTTGAATTTACATATATTTACACAATTATGATAAAAATTGGAAATTTTTTAAATATTTTGACATATATATACAATATTAAAAATAATTTTATTAATAGTTTATTAATAATAACATAACAATATATTTGTGATTATATCTTAGAGTATGATATTTCTTAAATGAGATTTAGTAAAACATAAAATAATTTCATGGATTTCCAATAAAAAGTAAAAAAATTAGAAACCTTAAATGATATTTTATGTTTTCAATATACTAAATCAAACATTAAAAAATAATTATTGATATTTTAAAACGGATTATATTTAATAATATTCGAGGTCATCTATCGATAAATTAGTATATTGAAACTATTATTTAGTAAATATTCTTAACAAATGAATAACATACCCTTAGACCAGAGAGTGAATCTTGATGATTAAGATTTTCAGTCTCCATAATTGAAACTATTTTAATATATTTTATTTTAGACGAAAAATTTAGATGTAATATAGGCAGATAAATTATATTTGAATACACTTAAATTACTAATAAAAAATCTCTGAAAGCAAACTTTAATAACTATATAACAATTTTTATTTAATTAACAAGAGTTGTGTAGAAAAATTATTACAATAATCATTAACTGCATAATATTTAATAATTATTCAGTATTAATTATATACAGTAATAATCAAATATAAACTTATTTTCGAAAATGGTTTTTAATTAGTTATCAACAAAAATTACAATAGGTTTTCCCAATTGTTATACAAAAGTAATATGTCCTAATGTAAAAATTTGCTAAAATGTCATATAAATGCTTACTAATAATAATTCAATTTCAGTAAATATGTTTAATACAATTTAATTTTACACTTTACAACTATATTATTATCTAATTTAATATATAAATAACTATTGATATTTTATTATTACGGTACAAAATCGAGATGTACAACCAAGGTGGATAAATCCACCTGTGTACAACCATTCAATATCGTGTTACTTATCATTGTAATTTGGTGTCTATAAAATTAACTGTCTTTTGGTAGAAGTGTTTATGTTCCATTTTATTGATAGGATTTTTATCACTTTATTTGCGGCTTGAGAGATTAATACATGGTTTCTTTTATTCGTTTTTTTACTGTTTAAATCTGTGTACTAATCAAGTTTTTTTGTATTAAAAAAAACTATTCAATAAACAACATTTAATTTTTTTCAAAGTTAATTGTTGAAATAATACTTCACTAAAACTAATTGATTTAAAATATTATTTATATTGAAATAATAATTCAAGACATCGAGGTTTAATAAAAATTAATATGTTAGTCTTTAAATCTTATTCTTCTGGACTAGCCTCAATTTTAAAGGTTGGGTTATATTATCCTATTATAGTTTGATTTTAATTTAAGTAATTAAAATAAAACTTATGAAGTTGTAAAAATAACTCGTTTAATATTTTATATTCAAAATTGTGTTGTCAATTTAAATAAAATTGTATTTTATTTTATTTACAGAGTCAAAAAATCATGAGGAATTCTATTTATTCATCATTAACATTAATTAGATATAAAAGTAACACGCCATTTAATACTGGTATTCTGTTTGTGCCTCAACAGGAGGTAATCTGTATAAATTATTTTTAATGATTCTTTGTTTTAGTTTAATTTATATAATTTATTTATTTTTTAGGCATGGATAGTTGAAAGGATGGGAAAATTTTGTCGAATTTTAGAACCTGGCTTAAACTTTTTAATACCCTTTCTTGATCGTGTGGGATATGTTCAAAGTTTAAAAGAATTAGCAATTGATGTTCCTAAACAAAGTGCTGTAACATTAGGTTATTAAATTTTTTTTATGCTATGTTCTTATATATTGTAAATTAGTATACATTGAAGACTAGCCTAAACATTAGTTGAGGATTCATTATTTGCTTAAAATAGTTCTAAAAGTTTTATACTCTTACTATAAATAGTTGCAAACTATTGCTGAACCAATAACTTAATGATTGATACATTTTTATAATTTTTGTTTTTCAATTTCATTGTAATACTAAAGTTAACTTATAAAAACTTCACTAATGTTTAATATTAACTTCTATTTTTAGATAATGTAACCCTTAATATAGATGGTGTATTGTATTTAAGAGTCAATGACCCTTATTTAGCAAGTTATGGGGTAGAAGATCCAGAATTTGCAATCACCCAACTTGCCCAAACTACCATGAGGTAATATCAAATATATTAAATTAATTAAAAAAAATAAAATATACTATTTGATCATAATGCCTTATTTTCTTTTCATTCAATTTTTGTAGATCTGAACTTGGTAAAATTTCATTAGATAAAGTGTTTCGAGAAAGGGAAAATTTAAATTATGCTATTGTTGAAAGTTTAAATAAAGCAAGTGCTTCATGGGGAATGGTGTGTTTTCGTTATGAAATCCGTAAATAAAATAAAATGAGTTAATAAGTTTTGTATTTTAAGTGTGTAATATTTTTGAGGTGACATTAAACTTCCAAATAGAGTACAAGAAGCAATGCAAATGCAAGTAGAAGCTGAAAGAAAAAAGCGAGCAGCAATATTAGACTCTGAAGGTATAAGAGAGGCTGAAATCAATGTTGCTGAAGGAAAAAGACAAGCAACCATTTTAGCTTCAGGTTTCTATCAACAAAAAACTCTTTATTAATTTTAGCATTTCCTAATGTGTTAATTTTTAATTATTATAAACATTTATATTTCAGAGGCTGATCAACAAGAACAAATTAATCGAGCTCAAGGAGAAGCAAATGCATTGTTAGCAGTAGCTGAAGCTAAAGCTAAAGGAATTAGACTTATTGCAGATTCTTTAAAACAAACAGTTAAGTAAAACTAGTAACAACACTTATATTTATCAAAAATAAATTAAAGGTATATGAAAAAAATGGTGGTAGTTCATTTTTTTCGATTTTAATTTTATAGTTTGATTTTATAACCATTTAAAATCCATTTAGTGAAAATTGTTTTAATTTTGCTTATATGGAAGTATTTATTTTTGTTTTATTATTTAAGAAATAGAAATGTATACTATTGTTTTTACTGTCCTAAAAATGTACAGAAATGGACTACTACCGTTTTTCCTCTGTGTCCTTCAAATGCATTTATTATAATGAAATTTAATTTTTTTAGGATGGATATAATGCAGCATCTTTGAAAATAGCAGAATCTTATGTAGAAGCATTTGGAAAGATAGCTAAATCAACAAATACTGTTATTATTCCTGGCAATACATCTGATGTCTCATCAATGGTCACACAAGTAAATGCTTTATAATATTTTATTAATATTAGTTTATTTTAAGCCAATAATTTTAAAACAATTTTTTTTTTTTTGATACTTTTTAACTAATTTTATTTAACTTATTTGCAAGATAATCCAAGTATAGTATAATATTTGTATGTAATAATGGTGTTTTCATATTTTTTATTTGTTTAAAATACATTTAGCTTACAAAATCGTTTTTTAACTTAATGTAATACTATTGAATATCTATTAAAGAAAAACAATTTTTTTTATAACTATAAATTGCTAGGTTTAACAACTAAGTTGATTATATTTGTACATTCATTAATATAAATAAAATATTGTATTGAAAATTTGTTTGCAGGCATTATCTATTTATAAATCATTATCCAGTAAAAATGATTTGTCCAAAAAATCTACTGCAGAAGACAAATAAAATACTATGGCATGTATTTTTATATATTTCACATTTTAACTTTTTTATACATCTTGTAAAAAAATTAATAAAGTATAATGTTTCAAATAAATTTTTTGTTAGAATCTAATAATATTTGTTATTTTGAAAAATCCTATATGTATGATATAATTAATTAGTTAATATTTTAACATGTTAATGAAATATAACAGTAATATTGTACAGATGTTTATTAATGTTATTTAAACACTATTTGTTAATTAGATAATCATTCATTAATTTTTATAGTACAATTAAAATTTAAAAAAATTTAATTTTCTATATATATTTATCAATACCCAGACAATAATTAATTACTTTTGTGTGAAGTGCTTATGTAACAATCATTGACTAAAACAACTAGAAATAATTGAGATTTAAAAATATTTTCATAAAAATTTTTCTAAATTAAAATACAAAAGTGTAGATGGAAAATGTCTCAAATATATTCAACAAAATTTTACTTTATTATTCTTAGTAAGTTGTGAAATAGTTAATATTAGGTGTGGAAATTTTAAACATAGTGTACATATATTATTTAACTTTAGTCCTTAATACGTATAAAACTAAAACTAAAGGACTATAAGTACTGTACAAAGTAAAAGGATTATGTGAATAAAAATTTTTATTCCCTCAGTATTTGTGATTACATCAATCATTCCTCTTATTGGAAATATATTTTTAAAGATTGATTGGGTTAAGCTTTTGAACTCAACGTGACATATACTTATGAAATAAGTGTTATACAGAATTAATAGATTGATATAATAGGTTTTTTATTCAACAAGTTTTTATTTTTTGGTGTCTATTATGATTGTCTGACTATCATTAAAAAATTGACCAATTTATACCATCCAGATTATTACTATGAGATTCTGACATAGTATTGAGTTTTTTGAAACTTTTTATACTAATTTATATTTTTTTTTTGTTTTTTTATGAATCATAGCGGATAATTGCGCAATTTGAAGGAATTTCTTAACCATGTATACTCCAAGATATGTGGTTAATCCATCGACAAATTCATAATATAAAATATTTTATTTTTTGAAAGCCTCAGTTATGTTTTTACAATAAAAGTGAAAACATATAATTCAAACAATAATTGATAATTAAACTCAAGATATCTGGTGATAATATTGACTTGCAAATAGTAAAATGTGAGATTAAATTATTCTTAGTATAACTCAATAACTGAAAGTAATTTAGTATTATTATATTCAACTTAACTTCCATAATGCTCTTAGACATCAACCTTTTATAAATATATTATAGTCTTGTATTTATACCTATTTTAACGTATAATTGAAATATACATTATAAATAGAATTAAAAAAATTAACTAGTAGGCCAGTCAACGAAGGAGTAATTTTAGCGAATGACGGAAAAAATTCCCAATCAATTTTTTAGCTTCGATGCGAAGCTGAGAAGGTATTAATTTTACTATGATGTTTTTTTTTTTTTTTTTTTTTTTTTTTTTAACCCACTTTTTTATTTTTGTTTTTTTTTCCCAAACGCACTCTAATTCTCCTTGATAGCAACCAAAGGTAAGAAAGTTTATAGGCAATACTAATTGTTGGTGTTGTGATTCATACATTTGTAACTTGTAAACGTTCTTTCTTGAGCATTATAAATATGCATGAAATTTGATATCTCTGTGATGCATGTTCTAATAACCCAGCAATTTGAATTTTCAAATAATTTTTATTGAAATAAAAGTATACTTTTATTTTATTTTATAATTTTAGTATCTTAAATATGTCATTTTCAAAGAAAATTACTAATTTATCTTAAAATTTATTTTTTATTNATAGTAACTTTTTTATCTTTATAAATATACTATATCTTTGAAATTTGAACTAGCTTAAATACACAATTTTTTCAATCATCGGTAGCAAAATACGATTGCCGAGTTGGTAAATCTTGTGTTTACACGCTTGGGGTACGAGGTTCCAACCCGCGTATAACAATAAATTTTTTGCATTTTTTCTTAATTCTTTTTAAGTTAGTATAAATTTTTAACTCATTTAGATTCAATAACTTCAATAAAGATCAATGATCCCATCACTTTAGTCGCCCCTTGCAAGAAGAAATTTCTTATTCGTATTAAAATTATTTTACTATATTTTAAGTTTTAGCTTCGATGCAAAGCCGAGAAGATGTTTTTTTGTGAATATCATTTATTTTCTCTGCTCTAACTTGACCTACTTTTTTCAACGATACGTCCAATGACTACAATTCGTATCTAGTTGAAGATATTACTCTCAAAAATTGAAAAAAAAATTCTAATTTATCAATTAAACAGTTAGTTATTACATCGTCTCCATAAAGACAATTAAAATCATTAATTTCTAATGTTTTCAAAATATTTATTAACGAATGAAGTTTGATATGATAGGTTTCAACTACAAAATTAAATCATTTTACTTTGTAATTTAATAATTTTTTTACTCTATTTGTGTGTGCTACTACTAGACTATAATATTACAATTTTTTTTTGTAACATGTTGCTATATAAATCATTTCTAAAAAAAATGATTGTTTTTTCTCCTGAATTAACAATTGATTTTTACAAATATAATCAAATTTTATAATACACTCAATTGAGTAAATCTTTTTAACAACTTTGTTTTGATTGGTACATTTAGTTAAAGTAAATCATTAAAATTAATTAAGTTCTCAATATTTCAATTATAGAATCTTTTCAACAAACAACAAAAGTTCCTAGGAAATTATTACTATTACTTCTATTTAAGTTATCTATTACCATAAAAATGCAAAAAAATATTGAGCTTTTCTGATAAATTTACAATAAATAGTAATTATAAAACTTTCTGACTGCATATTGATCTTAACGATACAATTTTTTTAATTGTCATAAAATTTTCTATTTAATTATGTCAATGTCAAACTTACCAATTGAGCTAAAAGTTATGGTAAAATAAATTTTTTTTTTTTTTTATAAACATTTACAACAATCAACTTTAAACGATTAACAAAATTGGTTAAATATGTCATTTTCCTTATTTTTAACTTATTAATAATCAAATTAATATTAAATATTATATCAAATCAGTATTAATTTAAAACAATTTTTTTTGTTCTTAATTATTTTTTTTTATATGTAAAAACTATTTTTTAATAATATTAAAACTTAGAAGTTATAGAAAAAGTCTAATTGCACATTTTAAAACATCGCGAAAAGTTGATTTAGAATAGTATATTTTTGTTTCTGATGGAAGTTCCTTGTAGTCCAGTGTATAAAACTTATAACTTTGTTAATTGTTATAACTTTATCAAAAATGACCAAATCAGTATATTTTTTTTTATTTAGATGCATGTCTTTATCTATCATTTGGTTTTTTTTATAAATCTAACCCTTTACCTGCCCACAAGAGGGATTCAAAATATTAACTTTTTTTTTTTTAGTTAAAGTAAATCATTAAAATTAATTCAGTTCTGGATATTTCAATAGTAGAATCTTTTTAAATATCAAAAATTACTTAGAAATGATTACTATGATTTCTATTTAAGTGTTCTATTACGATAAAAATGCAAAAAATAATGAGTTTTTCTGATAAATTTACAATAAATAATAATTATAAAACTTTCTGACTGCATATTAATCTTAAAAATAACATTGTTTTAATTCTCATAAAATTTTCTATTTAATGATTCATTCTAGTCAACGAAGGAGTAATTTTGCAGAATAGCAGAAAAAATTCCCAACAAACTTTTTTTTTTTTTGTTTTAATTAGGCAATTGGTGGATTATTCCAAAAGCAAAATCAACTCTTATTTTTTTAATTATATCCTGATTAGTAGTTCTTTGATTTTAAAATATAATATATGAATAAATACTAATTATAATTATTAAATTTAGTATGAAATTGATATTTAATATTGTAATTTAAACGGAAAAATTATAAAAATAATAAAGAAGTTATATTTTGCTTGACTTTTAAGTGTATAAAAATTTAAAGGGCTTGATACAATAATTATCAATAAAAACTGTTTGTTACTATCAATGAATGCACTGGACTTCAAGGAACTTTCATCAGAAGCAAAAATATACTTTTCTAAATCAAATTTTCGCGTTGTTTTCAAATCTGCAAGTAGACTATTTCTATCACTTCTAATTTTTTATATTATTACTAATTATATATATAAAATAATAATTAAAAGAAAAAAAAATTTNTGTTTATATTATTACTAATTACATATATAAAATAATTAAAAGAAAAAAAAAATTGTTTTCAAATTATTACTGATTTGATTTTTGATATGTTAAAAAAAATCAGTCCAAATTTTCATTTTTAACCTATTTTTTTGGTTCTTTAAAGTTGATGAAAAAATTTTGATAAAAATTTATGAAAGTTTATAGTAAAAAAAATTGAATATATTACCATAACTTTTAGCTCAATTACAAGTTAAAAACTGACATCTAGGCCAGTCAACAAAGGAAAAATTTCGGAAAAAATTTTGTTTTTTTTAAAGTTGAATTAAAATATGTATAATGACATACTAATAGTCCTCAAGATTGGAATTGAGCTTTTTTTTTAAATCCTCGCAAAAGTTCAAAAATATGAGCTTTCTTAATTTTCTCAAAAAAAAATATTTAACTTACAAAAAAAAGTTTCGCACAAAAGTTGTTTAAAAGACAATTATAAATAAAAATATAATCTTATATTTTTTCATTTAAACAAATATTTTTCGAGTTACATTACATTTAATATGAGTAATAAAATTTATATTCCATTTTTTTCATTTTACGGTTACTTTTTATCATGTTATACTTACATTAGACACAATGTTATAAATGCATATGTGTGTATGTGTGAGTTTATTTATTTATTGTATCATTAAAGTGTAGTGTATATTGAGATACAACCGATAGAGTAGGTAATTGATTTGACGCTATATTATTTAAACCCAACTAAACGCTAAATTGTACATTCCGAAATAACAATCATATTATGTCAATTGCCACCGGAATATCTGGTAATATTTTTCTTTTTCTTTGCCTTAATCCCAACTACTTGGGGTCGGGCACCCTTATCCTAAGATTCCACTTGACACGATCTCCCACATCTTCTACGCTCACATCAGCTGTCCTCAAATCGCATTCAATAGCATCCCTCCATCTCTTTTTTGGTCTTCCTCTATCTCTTCTTCCTTCAACATTCATTTCTATAACTGTTCTTACAGCTTTCGATTCTTCTTTCCTCATACCATGAATAAACAATCTAAGTCTATATTCTGTCATCGTATCCACGATTGACGCAACACCTATACTTCCTCTTATATGCTCGTTCCTTATCCTATCTTCTCTAGTCACTCCACTCATCCAACTAAGCATTCTCATCTCTGCTACACTTATTCTCTGCTCTACTTTCTTATCAACCGCCCAACACTATTAACCATACATCATAGCTGGCCTCACAATTTCATACTAAATTTAAAAACTATAATTAGTATTTATTCATATATTATATTTTAAAATCAAAGAACTACTAATCAGGATATAATTAAAGAAATAAGAGTTCATGTTGCTTTTAAAATATTTCACCAATTTCTCTAAAGGAAACACTATCTACAGATTTGCATCGAAGCGTTTCTTATGATAGTGATTTTAATCACTGTCAGATATCATCTATACTT